AATCTGTAACTGGTGGCCGTCAAATATATAAATTGAAGCATAATCTGAAAAATCAAGGCACAAACACAATTATCAATGAAGTATTTGACATTTTTTTTTCTATTTATTTGAATATTTTGTCGCGAAATTTTTATTTTAAAATAAATTTAATATTTACATTGCTCAGAGAAATAAATCCTTTGTAGACATCACTGAATATGCCGTCAATGAAGAAGAACCAATCATTTGAAAAGGCTGGATACCACCAGTTACAAAGGCCATTACGGAATACTTGAGATCATCACTATTTGAAGAGCAGTTCCATTTATAGCGATCTTAAAGCCAACAAGAACCGAAATGAACATCACGGCAAACCTAGAGTTTTAATAGCAAGTCCACCCCCACAGAGCCTAGCCCGAAAATAACAAGGGCAGGTCAATGGTTCCTAGCTACAGCTAAGGAAGTGCAATGTAAATCTGTAACTGGTGGCCGTCAAATACATAAATTGAAGCATAATAACCTGAAAAACCATGGTACTTTAATGAATCTCAACAGTAAAAATTATTTTTCCACAAATAACATTATATTATTATACACATTTTATATATCGTAGATTGAAAACCGTTAAGTTTTGAATAACATTCCATTTAAAAAATTATACTGGACACTTCTAAATATAAAAATCTAACTCTTCCTTTTATTTTCTCTTAAACCTTAAATATAAATTTCTCAGTTATCCCTTACAGGTACTTAATAAAAATTATTATTTTTTAAAATTACATTAAAAAAACAAAATAAATAATTAAATAATACCTGCAACTTTAATATAATTCAATAATTCAGTTTTAAATTTAGTACAATTATTTTAGACGAAAAAAAATATGCTCTTTCTGTTTCATATAAGTATTTAAAATTAAAAAAAAAACAACAAATGTTCAATGAATTTCATCAGTGAATTTAAATTAAAAACCTGCCGATTACTACAAACATTTAAAATGCTTTTTGGCAAAATTTTGTTTTCGTTATTCAAAACTTAAAAACTTTGAGATCTCATACATAAAGCTCTTTTCCATTTAATTTTATATAATTATAACTAAATATGTAAAAATTTTTTAATAAATTATATAATTTCAACAAATTTTTATCAATATATGTAATGTAATGAAGTGTGTAATAGAATTAGAATCAGTAATAACATTACATCGACTAGAAAGTTTTTGGATCTATAATCATTCTTAAATTCCAAATTCCAGATAAAATTCATCAAAAAGTATACCAATATACAAAAAAAATCATCAAATATGTTATGCAATTTATAATTACAGCAGAGACAAATAAATAACGTTATACATTATTTCATTATTTAATAATATAGACAATGATAATGTATTGATCCAGATATAGATGACAAATATGTGGATGATGGTAATATACATCATGTTGATGTAGATGATGATATACATGATAGTGATGCGTTGTAGATAATGTAGATCATGATGATGCAAATATTGGTAAAGTAGTTAGAGAAGTTGGTGTTGATGATTTAAAAAACATTCCTGCAAAAAAATGCTCCGCGAAGCGGAGCTCATGCCGCGCACAGCGCGGCCCGAGAGCCGAAGGCCCGAGAGAAACGTCAAGTCGGCGAAGCCGACTTGCCTACGTTTCTAGTTTATATATATTAAAATCTGATAGCTCCGTCTGCGTCGCACGATCGGCCCGAAAAAGCGTCGACTTACTGCCACAAAGGCTTTTCGGGGAAGCCGCGCATCGGCGACCCGCGGGGGGCGAAGCCCCCCGCCTGCTTTGCTTCGTCCCAACGTCGTATTTTGATGGCGATTTTTGCCGTCTTCGAGGTGAATTTTGAGTTTTCCTCGGGCTCTGCGAGGGGCGTGGCCCAATTTTTGTGTGAAAAGCGATAGTCCGGCACGCCCTCCCGCTGAAATCTGACGGTCGCCGATCGCCTCGAATCGCGCGCGGGTACGGCTTTTTTATTTTTTATTTCCCCC